CTGGGCAGGGAGCACGTGGATGCTCCAGCGGGGGAAGCTCAGGTAAGTAGGGGTGGAGGGACCCTGGGCAAGGAAGGAGCATGGGGGGGAAGCAGCCACTCCCCACCCATGCCCGGTGCCCCGTACTGCAGTTGCTTGTAACCCACATGGGGTGCCTGTGTCCGCTCTGGACAGCCCCATGCGAGCTGCGAGCGCCTGCAGCGTGGGGCACCGGGCATGGGGCGGAGGAGGGGCCGCTTTCCCCCCATGCTTAGCTTTTCTGTGGGCTCCTTCCTTGAGCGGAGAGGCTGTTGCCCCGTGTTGCAGGCGCTCACAGCTCATGCAGGGTTGTCCGGAGCAGGCACAGGCAGCCCCTGGCAGGCTGCGAGCAGCTGCAGCGCGGGACACTGGCCATGGGGCGGGGGGGGCTGCTTTCTCCCCCACCCTGCACTCAGCACCATCTTGTAACCCGGCCCCACTGCCAGGTTGGCAGTGGGGTGGGTTATAAGCTGGTGCTGAGTGTGGGGAAAAGTGGCCCCTTGCCTGCCCATGGCCAGCGCCCCACACTGCAGCCACTTGCAGCCCGCCTGGGGCTGCCTGTGCCTACTCTGGACAGCCCTGTGTGGGCTGCGAGTGCCTGCAGCGTGGGGTGCCAGCCATGGGGCAGGTGAGTGGCCACTTTTCCCCATAATCAGCACCAGCTTCTTCCCTGCTGGCAAGCAGGGAGTCAGGGCTGTGCACTGCCCCCCCGCCTGTACCGCGGGGCTGGAGGGCACTGAGTGCGAGTGGGTGGGGAGCCAGTGGGAGCACGGGGCCTGCACTGGTGTCACCCAGAGCAGGGTGGCAGGAGCCCAGGGTCCCAGCTGGCAGGGACTCTATGGAGCCGAGCCAGCTGCCCCCTCCCTGCTGGTGCAGCCCAGCCTGGTTCCACTGACCCCTGCCAGCCTTTGCCCCACTCTGGGCCCCACTGGTGCTGGCCCTGGGACATTGGTCCCAAGATGGTGACCAGGGGTCGGGGCACCTGTCAAGGGGCGGGGCTACCCATGCAGTCCTCAACAGCCTGCCAAAACTGCGTAAGCGGCCCTCCACTCAAAATAATTGCCCGCCCCTGTGCTAATGCATAAAATATTCCTTAACACAGCAAAACTAATTTAAATTCAGAAGAAATCACAATCTCTTCAGAAGAAATTGTTAAATTTATTGAGCAAAACTCATTTAAAACTTGGCAAACACCTATTAATATTGTTGTCACATACATGTCACATCCATTTCTGTCATTACATACTTTTTCCTGTCCTAACAGTTTCCTCACAGACCTGTGGAAGCATGTGGGAATAAACACACACACACTCTCAGAACTTTCCTTTTCCAAGCAAAGTTGCTGTGAGACTCATCATTGCTTACTAGATAGGTACCTTCTTATGCCTTCTGTATGTGGATAAGAAAAATATTAGTAATAGTGGTTTACAGAGAATAGACAGACATGTAAATATTTGCCTCACTTTCTCTTTATAGTCTATGAAATATGTTTATTTACTGAAATATGTACAGAAATGATAAACAATTGGACACTGACTTTCTTAGGCCTGTTAAAGAACACAAATTAGTTGACTGTAAAAGCCATTTACCTGAAAACTTAGGTGGTGCGCGCGCGCGCGTGTGTGTGTGTGTAATACGTATACATGACAGTAGACGTTCACTTCAATTCTGTTACAGACATAAAACGTGTAAGTATTGTGCACATTTTGTATCAATTAATTTGGTGATTTTGCTCGTGTGGCATCCATAGAATAGCATGTATTAATACAAGACACAACATAAGTACAGGGTGAATCTGGGGTCATTCAGTGGTATGGATGCAGCCCTCCCCGCACTTTCAGTCGATGCTGCAAGAGCAGCATCAGAACTTCTTTTAAGTCCCCAAAACAAGTAAGGATTCTCCCTCTCCTTTCCCCCGCCTGCTCAGTGGCACCTCCCCTCCCCTTCCCCTTTACCACTCACCTCTGATACTGTCCCCAGCTGCGTGGGTGTAAATTGGCTCCAAAGCTACTCCTGCTCTGCTCCAGCTGGGCTCTGCAGGGAGCCAGGATCAGCTAGAGACATGAGTGGATCTAGGGTTTTGAAAAGGGGGATGCAGATGGTGTGGTGCATCACCACAGATAACTCAATACATATTTTTCTCCAAGTAAAAAGAAACCAGAAGCTTTGCTAACATGCTAGGGGTTAGGGCTATATTATTCAGTTGAAGATCAAAGCAAAAACAAATCTAACCTAAATAGATGTGCATGAATTTGTTATACATTTTATATTTAAAAAACAGAACAAACTAGACAAAATAATAAAATAGTTTCTTTAGTCCTGTAGTCATTAGAATAAAATGTACATCCCTTTCAGATTCATAAAACAAAATCAAGCCTTCTTGAATATCTTGACAGTACATCCAATACTTCACTAAAAGTTATTTCTACCCTTGAGTTAAAGTTTTTATCTAGGGTTAAAAACAGTCTACTGGGTTGTGAAATAGGAACTACAGTACCAGGAGCCACTAGCTTGCAGACAGCAGAATTGAAAAAGAAAGGCTATCTTGATTAGTGAACACCAAGATCATTAAAAAGGAAATAGGGTCATTAACACCTGTGGATAAAGAGTTTAGAAGGCATCAGGTAGATTATAATAAACCATGAAGTCTAGTGACTCTTTCACTGCTGCCTGAATAAAAAATGTTGTTGCCACTACCAGGCAGTTTGTTTTAAACTTTGGGTAGGCCAGGAATCCAGGTGGGAGGGGTATGACTGTACCACTGTGTCCCCTCGACATCCCCCCTGGATCCGCCCAGGGACAGTGGTAGTGGAAATAGGCAGGCTTCTCCCTGCCTGGTTCTCTGTGTGTTCCTTGCCAGCTTGTGAGCAGGCTCAGGAGAGGAAGCTCTTTTGCTGCTGCTGTCGCTGTCCCAGGCTGAGCCCAGCTCTCAGCCTGGCTGGGGTTGGGCAGGAGTAACTCTGAAGCCTTTCTTCTTGCCCCCAGATCAGCTGGAGAATGCAGGGGGACTGGGAAGAGATGTGCTATTGAGCATGGAGGGGAAGGAAGAGGGAATTGAGAGGGGGAGGAAAGATCCTTACCTGACTGGGGGGATTAAAGAAGTTGCTGCTTTCTGTTTTCTTAGCATGGTCTGTCCACCCCCAGGGTTCAAAACATGGGGAGGCAGGGGGGAGGGGGATGAGCCCCACCATAAAAGATGAGAGCCCCTGGCCTGCCCCATGTCTTTCTAAGCAGCTTAGGTGGCAGCAGTGGTTCCTTCTGGCTTCCAGCTGCCACTGCTGCAGACCACCCTTCAAGAATCAGAGTGTAATTTGAACCCTGCTACCCCTGTGGTGGCAGGGGGGTCTGGGAGCAGGAATGCAGCAACTGCTGTAACACCAGTTGTTGCTCCCTCACCCCCCTTAATAAAATCCTGGATCCACCTCTGCATATGTTAGTAGAAAATTATTTAGTGTGATGCTGTAATTACAGGACTGATAATAGCACATATATTTAAGGTTGCCCAACTCTTCCCAGTATAAGACCCTGTTTATAACTTTGCCAGAGTTTAAACTTTTGGGCTATTCCATGCCAGATGACTGTGTTAGGCTAGAGTGCTTTTTTGCTCTTTTTTTTGTGGAAAATTTCAGATTAAATAGTTCAGTTGTGTCCAAAAACAAGGTTTGTGAAAAATATATTGTTTTGCCATGTTAGAGACTGTTACGATGCTATGCTTTGGAACAGGAATTTGAACTGAGGAGTGGGTGGCCTTTATGTAAGGGATGTGTCTTTTGCTATTTCTGTGAAAATATGTCCAAATGATAGATTCTGACAAATTGTAATTGGGAAATTCATTAGACTGAAGCTAAAAAATCTGCAAAGATTGTTTCTGTACTGAGCCTGCTCCAGTCCAGGGATGAATCAAACTATCCTTTCAATTGTAGTTGTGTCTGCTATGGGTTGTGCCAAGTCCATATATTGGGACTGAATGCAGGTGCCCCCACCACTCCCAACATTGCCTAGTTTAGGCAGCGTGGACATGAAAACTGCCTGATTCAAGTATAGTGTAGACAAGAACCAGACCTGAAAGGCAAACCGACAGTGTAAATTGAGAGAATAAGCTTTTGGGCTAATAGAGGCTGGCAGTGAGTGGGGGGGATGGAAAGCTGGAGCTGGGGATGGGAAAAGATTGGAGAGAGAAATGAGAAGGAATCTGAAACAAGGTGGGAGGGAAAACAATTAATGAGGAGCCACAGTATGGAGGAGAACTGGGAGGGACAAGGCAAAGAGATAAGGAGCTAGGGAGGCTTGAGGGGGAGGAATGGGGCTAATGGTAGAGAGAACAGCATATCAGAGTAGGTGCCTGAAGGTTAAAGGGAGACTATCTATATAGTGATGTTTCATTTTAATCATGGAAAAATGTAGATTGGGGGTTGCTATTTTTAACCAAAAATTGGGGATTTTTTTTAATTAGAGAAAACCAGGATCCCTGATTATTATACATGCTCTAAAGAGGCATACCTTTGGTTACAGAATTTGGCATGAGAACAGTTTATTTTGTATTGAATATATTTAAAAATATCAGTGCTGTTATGAGAAGGCCAGGTTTTGCATTTTGCTATGAAGGAGTTAAAACTCATGCTCATCCTTATTAATTCAGGGAGTGAATTGAGACTTGACCAATTGCTAAATGATCTTTCTTTCCTTCACACATGAGTTTCACTCTTTAGGTTGTCAATTCATTATTCCAGTAGAAGATAGCTGTCAGAAGAAATCAGTCACAGGAGTTGAGATGGTCCCTTAGGAACTTGCTCTCAGTTTGCCTAACAAGTTCAGTTTACAAGAGGGGAATGTAGATGTAATACCTAACTGAATTTAACAATACTTATAACAAGAAATAATTGATCACCAGTAACTGAGTAACACTTTACCTGGCTCTATTAATTTAACAATATTTAAATGTAACTGTGTATCTTTGAATAAATTTATACTAGAATACTAGTAGGGAATCTTCAGTGGTGAATTTTCAAAAACCTACTTGTCATGACTTTAATGAGTGATGTGGCTACAATTACCCCCCAGTGTAAGAGCCATATTTGAAAAGTTACTTCAGCCAGCAGCATACAAAGCACATCAAAACCTTTTGTGTAATCAATAACACAGTGTATAAATAGGAGCGGCATCCCCAGATGAGTTACTGCATTAATACGTGGTATGTTCATGGAGAGGTAGAGATGGTTAGGAAAGTTGTATTCCAAAAGTTGTGGGACTGATCTTTAAAATAAAGTCAGAAAATGAATGTTGATCTGAATGAGCATTAGGAGCAGAAGCTGAGAAGAAAATATTCTCTTCCTCCCTCCTGGTATTGAGAATCGTTCTATTTAGTTATCACGGTAGGAACTTGTCTCCCCAAAAACAAACTTAGGCTCATGCTTTCCTCTGTCTTTCTCAGGTACCTTGAACTGACAACTCCTTAAGCAAGATGGCTGCCATCAAAAACCAGAGCCTTCAGCTGAGGGTCATGTGATCTCATTTCTCTTCTTTAGGATCTCTATGAACACAGCAGCTGGCAGTTCAGCACTCGGTGCTGCAAGCTGCCTAGGAGCTAGCGTAGCAGCCTTGTTATGAGCTCTGAGGATTTGAAGGTAGTGGAGTGACAAGAATATAGATAGAGTCTATCATTCAGATGCTTGAATATACATTGTTCCAGTTGTTAAAGGGAATTGTGCTTGATCTGGAGGTATGCTAACAGAAGCTTACATAGGATTGATGTGGAGGGCTTTGTTTTTTGGGTTTGTATTTTTTGGTTCTGTGAAGAATGGTGTAGTATCTTTTTTTTTTTTGGATTCCAGGACAAATTATTACTTCCTAAAAGCAAGCTTGTGCTCCGTGGAAGCCATTGAACACTAATTTATTTTCCCCTGAATGGAATGTGAAGGGTTTTGGCTTTTTTTTTTTTATCATCAAGTGTCACACAGAGCAAGAACATATGCAAGATAAGCTAATTCTTCACTGTAAGAAAAAGTGGACAAAGTAAGTAGGGAGACAGCTGTAGGAGACTTGGTCCTGAAAAAGGGATGCTCTTCTTCTCAAGGTTGTGAAACAGCTAAGCAGAGACTGAGGCTAGGGCTGAAAAACAGGTTCCGTTGTTCGGCAAGTTTTCTAATCCTGGTTTCATTTACAGTAAGTTGTTTTTGCTCAGGTAAACTTCTGGGCTGTTGGGGGACTGTGCATATGTTGTGGACTGTATTTTTTTCTCATTCATGCTTGTTGCAGTAAAACATGCTGAGGAAACACTGGCATGGAGAAACAAGAAATCTGGGACAGCTAATAGTAAGGCATAGCCAGTTCTTTTCATTTCTTCCGTTTCTGAGTATAAAGGTTTATCAGGCAGACACGAAAAGCCAAACCCACTTTCCAGGACACACATTTGATGATGTTGGGTACAATGAACCAAGCTTTAGCAACCAAAGCAGTGTTTTGGTTTTTTTTGCCTGTATGCTGCATTCACCAAAAGGTTCAATAATGTGTGACTCTTAAATAAGAAGAAGGAAGAAAGAAAGCTCACCATGGGGTACAATAAAAGCTGGATTTCAAGAAATGAAAGTGAGCATGCCTTCTTTCAAGCTGTCACCAGAGCTTTAGAAATTAGGAATGTATCTACTGCAGAAATTGGACAGAACAACAGAAGCTCCAGTGGGATTGGTGCCTTGGAAAATGGGGTGTACAGTGAGGAGCAAACCTATAGACATTTCACTACCACTGTGCAAATTGTCATCTTTATAGGCTCGCTGCTGGGTAAGTAAGCTCTGTTGCAATTTTTCTGTTATGAGTTTGTCCACGGGTTTCTGACAGCAGCCATTAGTAAAGTAATAATTAATGTGCCTGCAATTTATTAACATACTGTCCTTTCTTGATATTCATTTTGGGTTCTGAATAATTAATCAAGTGTTCTTTCAAGTTTTTTCTGTGCACTTCTAATGGGTAATATCGATTACTGCCATCAAAAACTAGTTGGTTTCTCCCAGTTGAAATTTGTCACAGTATTTATTATTTTGTAAAACTTGCTTCAAGTATTTTGAATAGATATAAGGACAGCATCTTTCTTCATAAAAAAGTGGGATATGACCTATTTTATTAGCTAATTTAGAGAGTATATTTTATTCAAAGCAGTGTTTATATTTGAGACCAAATTAATTTTATATTGATCTGCAGATTCCAACCGAATCACTGATAAGTGTTCTCTGTGCTGTATGTGGGGCTATCCCAATGATGCTGAATTTATTTGCTGTCTAACAGTTAGCTGTACATAAAGAATCTTATACAGTTGCATTATAATAACTGCGACTACATAATTGATACAGGTGTATATATTGGCTTGTTTGCAGGTCTGTAGGAAACAATTGTGAGCAATGCATTTACATGACATGCTTGACATAAGTAAGGAAGCAGGTTTTTGGGGTTTTTTTGTTGTTTTTGCTGTCATCTACAGGTGGATTTAATTTATGCAGTTTGGCAGATCAATAAATTGGATATTAAAGTGCCACTAATGCTTAGTTTTTAAAGCAGGTAACTTGAATAACATGAAGGCTTTACATAGGGTCTGATCTTGAGCCTCTGAGCACCTTGCAGCTCTTCAAGCTTGGAGTTTCAGTGAGAGCTTGCAGCTGGTTCCCTCGTTTTGAGATCAGGCCACAGTTTGGTGTCATAACTGGCCAAAAGTTTTCAATACTGTTATAGTATGTTTCTTGGATGTTGGTAACTAAACATGAATTCCTCTCTGACCATTTGCATTTATTGTGTTTAAAGAATTCTCTTGTGAATTTTACTTTAAGAAAGTAAACTGGTCTTGTTAAGTTATTGGACTGAGTTTATGGTCTTGTCTTTGCAGACTTCTATGAACATTGTCTAGTATGTCTACATACTGAATCTCTTTGGGCTTTAGTTTCCCATCTGTGGCATGGACACTATAGCCCAGTGTAGGACTATATTCAATCTTGCTCTCATTGTACCCCACAGAAACTTTTCCATTCATGTCTGTTCCCATTTTTTTTTCCTGGCATTTCTGTCCTCTCCCACTTGCAACAACTTAGATCCTGCTCAGACCCCCACCAGGAACACACTTTGTCCTCTTAAATGAGGAAACAACAAGTGCAAACATACAACACTCACCCTAGAGTAAACTGTAGTAATAGTGGAGTGGGCACATGACAGACGGCATTACTGAATAAAGTTACAGTTGTGGATATGTTACAAGTCCAGAACTCTAATCAAGTTCATCTCTGGGTAACTGTTTTCACTGAGGTGACTCTGGGCTTCCTGCCATCTAATGGCAAGGAACTGAAATAGTGTCTGCTGCAAACTGCTACCTCAGGAAAGCTGGCCTGTGTCTTTTCAGTACAGGGATTTGAGTTGTTCTGCAGAATGAAATTACTCTGGGGTAAATGTAATATACATCTGCAACTAAAGCATGTTCCTGCCAATTCCTGGAAACTGCTTAATCCTGCCCACAATGAAATTGCATGTTGGTGGGTCCTATGGATTGTTTCCCTGTTACAAGATTCTAATGGGGACAGTATCTCCTATCTCTTACGAATAACTATGATTTAAATGGACAAAAGCCCTTTAATGCATGTGTTTGTACAGTGCCCGCTGCAAACTTAGTTGTGGGCTCTAAATGCTGTTGTAATATAGGTAATAAGAGTAGCGTTAATTCAGTCATAACCCAGAACCTCAAATTATGAGAGCAACCTAAAAGTAATGAGGTATAAAAAAAAAAAATATTGAGTTCCTTTAATTTGCTTCTTGGGCTTTGGGGTCAGAGCATCTTTTTGACTTGTGTTTTCTCACTTTATCTTATCAAGCATAAAAATCTCAATTTAAAAAAAAAAATTTTTTTTTAATGTAAACCAGGAGTTGGGACTTGAACAAATATACTAAATAGAACAAAAATCACCATAATCATGTAATTTGACAACACCGCTATTTGGCTCATGAAGCCTGGCCACAACAAACTCCATATGGGCTCTATCAACAGGTATGGGTTCAGCTGTAGAACGAAGTGGGGGCCTGCATGCTTCTGTGGTCTGCACAGGTCTCTTACACAACAAGAGGGAGAAGCAAGAGAGAACTATAGAGCCTGTATCTCACATACTGGGGAAGTGCTCTTATGCCCTAAAGGCATTTTATACGTGTTCTAGGAGTGTATGTGGGGGGCAGGGTGCTTAATTAAAGTGACTCTTGGAACCACTCTAATTAGAAGTGCCTGGAGCTTCTCATGTATCAGCATTCCCATAGTTAAAAATGGTGGAAGAGTCACTTTAACTTAACTCATTCAGGTTTTAAAGCACCCCCACTGCATTTTTAAGCATGGGGATGCTGATAGGCAAGGTGCTGGAGCATGGTAATTACCATGCTCCAGCAGACTCAGTTTAATCAAGCCTGCTCCAACACGTGCACTGGAGCAGCCTTGCTGCTCGTGTATAGGCAACCTAAGCTTTGATCTAAAAGGCCCCTCCCCACCATCTGCAGCTTTTTGAAAGGAAATGAATGATCTCTCCTCCCCTTCTGAGAGAACTGCTTTAGGTACCTAAACCCAGGCTAAGGTTGCAGACCTCCTCTGTAGCCCACAGGTAGCCACCAGGAAATGTTCTTGAGGATTTTGGTGCCTATCTTAAGAGGCTTCATGTTGGGCCTTGCACCTACTTAATACCATTCTGAAGCACCAAACTCTTCACCATGCATTGGATAAGGAGTCTAGGTGCGTATGCCATGTGTAAAACTTAGGTGTTGTGACACCCCAGAATCTTTTGTTTAGCCTTAAATGTCTTGCTCATGGTCACATGGGAGGTCCATAGGAGAGCAGAGAACTAAATCCTATTCTCCCAAATTCCAGCTTGGTATCCTAAGGTATTTATACATGTGCTCTGGGAGCATGTGCGTGCTTTAGAGAGGCTTTGAGAGCTGCTCTCATTAAAGCACTTGGAGCATTGCATGTATCAGCATTCCAGTGCTGAAAAATGACAACGGGAGCACTTTAAAGCTTGTCAGATGAGCTCTAGTTAAAGCACCCCTGCCTCCACCTTTCAGCACAGGGACACTGATGCACGTGATGCTGGAGTCTGCTGTAGCATGGTAATTACCATGAGTAATTACCAGGTTACAGCACACTGGTGGAGACTCAATTAATTACAGTTCATCAGAACAGCCTTGCTGCATGTGTATAGGTGCCCCTAACTACTGGCCAGTCAGACTGTGGACAGATGTTGCAAATAATACCTTGTTTGTTGCTATCTCAAGGTGGAATGGGTTCTACTTCTGATTGTTTGTTTGTCACATGATTGGGGCCTGATCCTAAAAAATAGTGTGTGTGTAAATATTGTCTGGATCAGGCCTTCTTAACTGATCATGAGAGTTGATTTGCAGGACTGGGCCCTCAGTTTAAACCTTGTGAAACTATAGTGAGAATATAATCTTAAATATTCTAACGTGGCTCAAGCCCTTTAAAAATGTAATAGCAATCAGTCTGTCTTAACTTCTGTGGGGTTTTTTTTTCCCCTCTCATCCGCAACTTGTCAGGAGACTTATAACAGTAGGTGGTGTCCTTCTATTAGTTTTTCTTGTATCTGGTGAAGATGTTTAGTATGAATTTTTTTTCCTGATAGTTATATAGAGGTCAAAGTAAACAAAGCTCCAGTGACTTGTTTTTCTTTACTGCTAACATGCATTCACAGCACTCTCAAATGGTTTATTCTTTAAGCTCAGTTATTGGATTCTGTGTTTTTGCTGGCTTGCTTTTAAAGGGGGTTGTATTCTAACTTGTTAAAATCTGTGTGTGGATAGTGACCTTTTTACATTGTGGCAAAGGATCTAACTGGCAAGTGCAAATGGGAGATTCCAGGAAAGAGACCTGGAATGATGGGGGATTTAAATTCTGAACAACACTTTAATTTTTTGTTGTTCAGAATTTGACAGTATGAATAAAGAATCTCAGGCTTGGACTGGACGGGTGCTTTGCATACATGACAAAATCGCCCTTTTATAGCAGTTTAATTTTGTCACGCTGTACATGTGCAGCGGCATATTGTGATGCAAGTTACTTTGTTACATAGCAAACTAAAACATCCCAATGTATTTTAATTTCCTACCTAACAAATTTGCAGTGATGCATCCATCCCTGAGGTTTCCAGTGCCCCATGCACCATCCTCACTGCCTTCTCCAGCCACCAGCACACCCAGAGCTTGCCCCTGGGGCAGCACAGGGAAGTGGCAGGAGGGTGGCTGGGTGTGCTGGTATCTGGACAAGTGGTGGGGATGGTGCACAGGGTGCTGGAAGCCTGGGCAGGATCAGAGAAGCTCAGGCTTGGCAGGCTTCCAGTGTCCTGTGCACCACCCACACTGCCTTCTCCAGCCACTAGCACACCCAGCTGTCTTCCTACTGCCTTCCTGCACTGCCCCAGGGGCAAACCATCCCATTCCTGAATGGTCCCAGGCAGTGGGGACAGTGCATAGGGCTCTCACTGGGGAGGAGGGGGGGGAAAAACTGGCAAGGGGCCAGATACTTTTTTTTTCTGGCAGAGATTGCCCACAACTGGGGGGTGGGATGCTGGCAGCATCTGAGCTCTGTGTGTGTGTGTGTGTGTGTGTGGGGGGGGGTTTCCCGGTCCTTTCCTCTGCAGTGGTGGTGCCTCACTGTGGCTGCCTGGGCAGGCTGCTAGCAGGCAGAGCGCTGCCCCAGCTCAAAGCCAGCATCCGGCCCACTAGCAGCCAGCCCGGAAGACCCTGGGGGCGCTGCCACA